CTCTTCCCTCTGTCTCTCATTCTAAAATGTCATGTGAACACTCAGGTTGTCCAGCTGCCTGTGTAGCCTTTAGTTTAGGAGTAAAGAAAGGAAGACAATCGGGAAAAAGTCCTTTAGAATAATTCCTTCAAAAGAGACCATTTATAAGGTAGTACAGCTCTTCCTCAAAGCAGAAAAAAGTTTGCTCTGTGAGTAGCACAAATGTAGGAGGCTAGCAGTAGCCAAATATCCACGAAGTCGGTTTCTTCTCTAGCTGCGTATGGTCTTCTGTTGTGTCTTCTCTGGAGACAGCATCTATGGATAAGTTTCCTAAGCATGATGGGTTGGATGAGTTCTGAGAGAGAAGCACAGCTCTGCACAGAGGAGGTAGAAGATAGGGAGCAAGCCATATGTAAACAGAAGGTAAAGAAGGGTTAAATAAGCCAATATGACAAGTTGTCACAGAGACACAAAAAGAAATGGGAAAATAAAATAGTGCCAAAAAGAAATGAAAGGTAACAATTTTGTGAAGAAGTGGTCAGTGGAATTGAATGAACTTAGGAGTTCTTGAAAAAGAACTTTGATAAAATGTCCTTGGTTGACTTTTAAAGATGTAATTTCAGTGAAGGGACTGGAAAGAGATCCAAAGGAAGAGGTTAAGGAAATGCAAAATGGGGGTAATGTGAGGGGTGTATTTATAGCTTAAATGGAGAGTTAGAGTGTACTAAGAAGCCACTGAAATACCGAGAACTTTTCCAAGGAAAACTGAATTCAGCCCCATCAAGGCATACTGACTTTTTTTCCAGTGGACCCTAATAATTCTTGCATCAACTCTACCAAGCAATTCGATATGCGCTGGAGATAGAGAACATGTGTGCCCTCAATCAGCGTCCGTGTCCCTGCGTCCTACAACTCTCCACCCCTGTTCTCGGTGTTCAGATTTTTCCTTAATATTCAATAGACCTGTTTTTAGCAAGGCTCTTTTTCTTAAGCCCCCTCAAATCATACTGTTTTCTAATTAGGAGCAGAATCATTGGATCACCATTAACTCTCCTTTTTTTTTTTTAAGATTTATTTATTTATTGGAAGGTCAGATATACAGAGAGGAGGAGAGACAGAGAGGAAGATCTTCTGTCTGATGATTCACTCCCCAAGTGAGCTCAACGGCTAATGCTATGCAGATCCAAAGCCAGGATCCAGGAACTTCTTCCGGGCATCCCACACGGGTCCAGGGTCCCAAAGCTTTGGGCCATTCTGGACTGCTTTCCCAGGTCACAAGTAGGGAGCTGGATGGGAAGTGGAGCTGCAGGGATTTGAACTGGCGCCCATATGGGATCCCGGCATGTTTAAGGAGAGGACTTTAGCTGCTAGGCCATGTCACTGGGCCCAGCCATTAACTCTTATTAAGATCAAACAAACCTATCAGATATTGAAAGGGAGTAGTATTATGTTAGCTAAGAGAGAGGAATGGTGAATACTTGAGCTGATGGATATGTTAGCTGGATTTAATACCTCAGTATTTTATATGTATAGTGTCAGTGTTTATATGTATGCACTGCATACATATATGATTATTCAATATTCAATAAAATACTAAATATCAAAGGACAATAATACCCATTATCACATGTGTCAGGTTAGCTTTATTGCAAAATTTATTTTATTATCAGTATGACCTTTTTGTTACTCATATAACTGACTGTTTCATTTACTAGTGGATGCTGACTCAGTCAGCTGGGGCCAGTTGTACACATTAACATGTTTTGCAAGCTTTTGAACTGATTTCAGTGTGCACCTGCAATTGAGATCCATTGAGCTGAAGATGTGTTGGTTTGCAGTGGTGACTGCTGAAGAGCCCCAGGTCAGAGGCGAGAGCAGAGAAGTCCTCAGAATTTCAGAGTTCTTGCAGGTCTCTACACTTCTACAGATGATTTGCTGAACTCTAGCTTAATAAAGATACTTAGAATAATTTTAACATATGGTGGTAGATGGTAAAACACCTGGGATGGGAAGATGAAAGGGTGGACCAGTAACAAAGAGAAACAGGAAGCACACTCATGCTGTGACCACGTGGTCTTTTCTTATGAAGCCATAATCATTCAACCCCTGCATCCAAACTGAGCCCTTCGTAAAGGCTCTACATTCGATACCATAACTGGATTGAGCCTCTAGCCTTGATTTATGAATATTAGCATCAGTCCATTAACCAATAATGTAGAATTTTGGGGGCCAAGTCATTAACACATGAACCATCGGGGGACACCTAAACTGAACTCAGAACGATAGTACAGTCCAACATGTAAATAGACAAGTATGCTATTTCCTGCTTGCTTCATTCCTCGTGTTCTGTTATAGCACATGCATTCTCATTACAAAGTGTGACCCAATTTCCAAAGGAAACATAGCTTTTTACCTCACCTAAATTTTGGGGGGGTGGGGAGAGGAACAACAAAATACCATGATTCTACATGATTGTGCCTACTTTGGCTAATTTAGGAAACCTTTCTATTGTCTCTACTTGGCTTGTCTGTTCCTTACTTCGATCCCATGCAATTCAATTAGTAAAATGGGTTGAAAGCTACCTAGATCCTTTAATTAACTGTTGTTTTGAAATTTACTATAGATTCTTTTTATACACTCAATGATGAGTCATTAAAATTTTAAAATGATTATGCTATCTAATTTTTAAAGTTTTATTGACTTATAAAATACAAAGAATTCACCTATTTAAACTGTATGATTTAGTCAATTTTACCAAATGTAAAGGGTTGCATATTTATCACCATCTACTTTAGCCACTTTCAAACCTAGGCAACCACTAGGTCCGGTCTCTTTGTTGTTTTCTGTACTCTTTTATTGAAACTTCATCTGAATGAAATCACAATACTCACTACCTTAACATTTAATTTAGAAATTACATTCACCTTGATAAAATAACTGAAGGTCAATTAAATTGGGTGAATGCTGTGTTTCTTAATCAGCAGCAGCAGAATAAATTAGAATCTTCTTAATCAGGTGTTAAGATTTTCATATATACCTCAGTTGCTCTGTTAAATGGGAATTTATCATTTTGATTTTGTAAGACATTTTTTCAGTTTTGAGCTCTCTATATATACATTGTATATATACGTATGTATGTGTGTATGTATATATGAAGGATATTTTCTCTGAGATTCATGGATTGATGTTCTTTCCTTTTTCATATTTTATTCTAAAGCTCATATGATTATGATATCCCACTCCACAATGTCCCTACCAAATTATAACTGTTTATGTGAATTCAAAGGAAAAAAAGAGATATTTAATGAGCCTTCAAGAATTTGTGGATAGATGAATGGTTGGAAGGTGGATTGATCACCCCAGCTGTTGGCAACTGCGTAGGTTGCCTTGTATCTAGGCAAGTATAACACTGTTGGGAAAAAAGCAGCCAGTAGGCAGGCATTCTGGGCCTGGTTAGTGCCAACTCTGTATTAACTATACCAGTGTGTCAGAATCGCTCAATATTTTGTTTGTTTAAAGATCTTGGGGGAAGGGGCAGAGTGCCCACCATGCCACCATGGCCACTCCATCACCATCGTCATCAGCATGAGTGAGTGGCAGGGGGGCATGCATTGCTAGGGGTGGGCAGACTGGGGAAGGGTTGGAATGGGGCCACTGAGGGTTTGTTTGACATTTATAAAATAATTTCTAGGGCTTCCACAGATAGGGCCACTGCGCCCACAGGTAAGCAAGTGAGCTGAGACAGGGGGGGAACCAAAGGGGAAATCCAGGGGTCCAAGATAAGGTGAAAGTGCCCACCAGTACTCACAGGAGCCACATTTGTAGGTGGGTCTGGTAAGGGATTTAGGGGTCACTACAGCTAGGCCACATCACTTGCCAGTGAGTGTCAGGGATGGGGGTAGGCCATGCTGGCCTGGGCTGCTGTATGCACTGACACCCAAAATAGCTGGGTGGGATGTGGGGCAGGCCAGGCTGGGCTGAATTGCATTAACTGCAACCATGTGTGAGAACCAGAACTAGGAGCAGGCATAGTAGGGGTTTGCAGGAGTAATTCCAATAGACCCCAGCACCCTTCTATATACCATGAGAACTGAGACTTGGGGAGGGCTGGCTTGGGCTAGACTACAGCATCACCTGTTTGTCAGGGATGCGGTGAGTCTAACTGGGCAGCTGCACCCACTAATCCATGCTTTGACTGGTACGGGGCACAGGTTGAGCCTGACCCTGCACCAAGTGGCACACATAAGAACAAAATCTGAAGACCACCAGGTTAATTTTTAAAGGGTATTCCCCAGCTATATTCGCATACTTGCTCCCTGACCTCAGGGAGAATCACACAGATACGCAGTCTGGCTCTGGAGCACATGTGGCAGCACTGGGCCACCCTAGTTGTTGACCCTCGTGCAAGAATGAAGAGCATACCCAAATGATCATGAAAGACAGGACAGCTTGCTCATCTAAGCCAAAAAAGACTTTGAGTACCTCATCAAAAGATGGAAAGAACGGCAGTTTGAACAACAGTCCAAACCGGGCTCTACCACAAGCACCTAAGTATATGGGCACACTGAATTAGACAGGACAATCAACAGGCCTTAGAAAGAATTTTGCACCTGTGGTGTAACAAAGGACAACCTCTTAGAACAATCAAGCAGGTAACACATCTGGAACACTGTTCCCTACTGGAGACCTCAAATAACTGCCTCCGTGCCCTGGCAGGTGCTGATGTACTGTAACAGCAAGTAGTTCTGCACTTTTCTTCCTCACCCCCTGGCAAGTCTCAAGGACGCAAGAGGGAAAACTCGAATATTTATCCTACCTCCATTCTAATCAGAATCAGAGACCCACAGGGCTCTGTAAGCCCCTCATGTTTGTAATAAATATTAGAAAAAAAAATTCTTAAAAATAGATTGATGATTTTCATGTCTTAAGTTTCCAGGAAAGTAACTTACATACAAATTTCTCACCACATAGGGAACCAATATTTACTGAGAATTGACTCTTTGTACATTTTCATTTAACAGAAGAAATGTGAAGCTCCTTCCAGCCAGGAATAAAGCACTGCACTGGACCAAGTCCTACATCTTACCTGAGTTTCCCTATGACGTCAAGTGCATGCTGGCAGAACAGAAGTGTCCTGATCACAGCATGAGAATAAGGATCATCGAGTTTCTCCAGGCTGACATGACAAAGTATCTGGAAGGCTCCCTGTAAGTGATTCTAGGGCACATGTGCTGCTTCTGGGGAGGAGCTTTGCAAAGCAGAGTCGCAGCAAGGTATATGAAACGTGCCCTCTTTGTTTCGGTGACCAGGTATCCCACCACCCAGCAGTACAATGACGTGGTCGGTGCCCTGCTGCAAGCTCACCCTTTCCTGGATGATGATGGCTGTGGCTTTGTAAGTCACTTGTGATCCAATCAGTCTCAGCTTGCCTTAATGTTTCAGTAATTTCATGTTTCTAAACTCTTACACTGTTTTCTTCTAGTTTCTGTCTTGATCTATCTGCATATCCAGGTCTATTTTTCTTTTTGTCTACTTTTCTGATTCATTCTTTATCGTGGTTGGTGTCTTTGACTTTTTTTTTCTTTTGGCAATGCCTCCACCTTTCTGTGAGCCTTTGTGTTTTTGCTCCTACAACATCATTTCTCACCCCTTTTTAGTGCTTTCTCGGGCCAGAGTCCCTTGTCTCTGTCACCATTTGTCCCCACTCAAAGCTGTCTGGGAACTCCCATGTTACAGTAAGTCTCCAGGAAGCATCTTTGTCAGTAAGCCTGCACCTGCACTGGTGTCATTGTTCAAGGGCATCTTGACATCCCACTGGACCCATGAAGAGGCTGTCTGGGTGTGAAAGCTTCTCCTGCCTCACCTGGTCCTCCTGACAAAAATGGATTGAAGGGATGTGTGGAGCAGCAGCTCTAATCTCTGGTTGCACATTAGCCTCAGCAAACCGATGTAATGGATCCCAGGATAGGTAGGGTTTGGCAGTAACATTTGGAAAGCTTCCCCCGATTATTCTAATGTACAGTCAAGGTTTGCAGAGTTTTAAAACAAACTATTATTTGGGTTTGCTTCGACTTTACACAAGTAGAATCTTCATTGTATAGCAATATGAATGTACTTAACAGTATTGAAATATACCCTTAAAACACTTAAGGTGGTAACAATATAGTTACATGATCTAAGGAAAAATTATGAAGAGTTGTAGCAATATGTACATAAAGGTATTATGTCTATTATTCTCTACCTCTGTACAAGAGTGTTGGAAAATTGTGGAAAATAGGATTGAAATAGATTTATTTTGGTGCAAAAAAGTCAAATGCATGAATTTTATAAAGAAATATATTTTATTACATTATTAGAAATTCTTTCTAGAGAATCTTTGCATATTTAAGCAACTATTTATCTCTTCAACCACATTTTAACCTTTAATACCATATCAACATTATTATTTTTCCACTAATATTTTAATTCCACATTCCACAAACTTTTTGGAGTTCCCGTTTGTTCCTTATTTTTGTAGCTTGTAGTCATAGCTAGTTAAAACAGTTGCCTCTTTGTACCTTACTACCAGATATCCGTGACAAAAAATGCCTGTGTCTATATATGTATGTATTTACATTTGTTGTGCTTTTGCGGGAGATGTGGAGCTCAAGCCAATTTAAATTTGGTCCAATTTAAACAACAAAGACTAGATGCCAGTATGTGTGGATGTGAAAACATTTAAGGCCTCTGTTTTCTGCCTCTGTTACTCTCATTGCTCCTCTGTTCCTAAGAAAGGATTCATTACATATGAGCACAGTTGCAGCATTTTTTGAGTAGGTCAGGCCTTCAAGAGTGTTTCTGTTTTTTCTATCACTGAGATCAGGAAAGAAGTTGAATCCTGGGCTTAGAGTTAGTAACCATTAAACCAAGAATGGAATTCAAGTATCCTTGCTTATAGCGTTTTAGCCTTTCAAAAATTTGCTGCTGCATATAAAGTAGCCTACACAATAACCCAGATTCATTCTGTAACAAAACAAAGCAAGAAAAACAAAAACAGATGTTGGAGTCCCAACATTGATACGCACCAGAGATTCTTAAATTTAAGGGCTTTCTTTCTTACTTTCTTGCTTGTTTTCTTGCTTTCTTTCTTTCTTTTCTTAATTTCAGAGTTTCCAGGAGGGAATCGTATCCATGTGGAATTTTCCATACCTCACATGTAGAAAAGGGGATAGCTATTCTGTACCTCTGGCACTCTTACCTGTCTATCCCAGGCAAGGCTCCTAGCAGATGTTCAGTTAACTCTCGCTGGTGGGACAGCCCTGTGGAAGGCTCTATCTGCTTGCTGCTCTTTCTGATGCTGTCAAACTGTTCATAAGGAAAGACTGGAGAGGCTGGGAAGACGAAAGTGGTCATTCAAATGCATTCTAGCACTTGATTGCTGTAGTACTTCCCAGCAGGCTCAGCAGCCTGAGGTCCCTGAGCGCTGTAGGGAACATGAGAAAAACGTCAAACTTCCCCTAGTTCACATGTTTTTGGACTAATGAAAAATACCAGCCCTCTGCTCTTTCAGGGCTGTTGTAAAACAGTGCTGGCAGGGTCGGGCCCACAGCCTGCGGTAGTGAGCCATCTCTGACTCACACGGACTTCAGCAAAGCCAGCCCCAGAGCTGCTTGCCAGGGCTGCGGAGGAGTGCTCCGAGCAACACTGCTGTTTACAAATATTTTCATGGAGAAGCTACTCATTTGAGTCATCCAAAAATCCAGTGTGGTTGATAGAGGCAGATCTTGTCGTTTCATTTTAGGCTTGAAGGCACTAAGGCCTAGGAGTGGGCTGAGCTAGCCTGTGGAAGCTTCCTTGCTTCATCCTGAGGCTAGTGCTAGAACTGGGTCTGTTCAACCTAGACCATGGTGCTTCCTGGAGGGCAAGGAATACCTTTTAAGAAAATATATACATATATATGTATATATGTATATATATGTGTGTGTGTGTGTGTGTTTGATTGCAGAGAGAGAGAGGGGAAAAGAGGTGGGGCTAGGGAAATTTTCTTTCTGTTGATGTACTCCCCAGATGGCCACAATGGCCAAGGCTGGGCCAGGTTGAAGCCAGGAGCCAGGAGCTTCTTCGAGGTCTCTCATGTAGGTGAAGGAGCTTGAGGACTTGGGCTATCCTCTTCTGCTTTCTCAGGCATATCAGCAAAGAACTAGTTTGGAAGTGGAACAGTTGGAACTTATACCCAGGTGGGCTTCCAGCATTGCAGGTGGTGGCTTAACCACCTATGGCACAACAATGACTCCACAAAAACCAGCTGTATTGACACTGAAGCCATATAACCAGGAGCAACGAACCCTAAGTGGCAAACACTTGACGAGAGTTATCTCAGTGGCATTGCAGTTGCCTGTGAGGAAAGCATACCCAAAGACATTGAGTGACCCTCTCTAATGGCTAGGGCTGGGACCAGGCGCTGGCCAGTACAGGCTCTTCTCCCTCTTCAGACCCAGAGCAGTCTTTTTAAGCACAAGACATTGCAGGGAAGATGAGTGGCCATGGGCAGCCCTAAGGCTCAGGATTTAAGGCTTTGGCTACTATTCACACAGTGAGTTATTTACCAGGCGAGGCCAAGACCCAAGGATCTGCTCCGACTCTGTTGTGTCAACACCTGTATCTTTCTGCCATCGCTGACTCTAAGGATCAACAGGGATGGCTCAGGTAGTGGGATTCTTGCTCCTCTTGTGGGAGACCTGGATTGTATTCCTGGTTCCTCGCTTCAGGCCTGGCCCAGTCCCAACTGTTTCAGGCATTTGGGCAGTAAGTCATCAGTGGATAGATGTGCTCTTTCTATCTCTCTGATGCTCAAGTAAAAAAAAATTTTTTTTTTAATGAGGGAGAAAGAATTAAAGAAAACAAACAAAAAAAGGGGTAGGCTTGGCTAGTTTCGAGTGCCTGCTGGGCTGGGCTAGGCTGTAACCCTCACCATCATCAGCTGGAATTGGATGTGGGCCAAACCTGGCAAGGCTACAGCAACCACTGGCAAATGCTGAAGTGAGGGGGTGGGAGCGATGCCAGACTGGGCCACAGCGCCCAACCAGCACATGTGAGAACCAGGGAGGGAGGGGACAAAGCCAGTAGGGGGAATGTGGAGGGCTCCCCTGCTGAGCCGCCACTTCCACTGGAAAGTATGAGTTGGGATGGGGGCAGACCAGACCAAGCAGGGCTACAACACCTGTGGGCCTCATGTGCACTCGATTTGGGCAAAGGAAGGCTAGGCTGACTGCTTCTACTGATGCAAGCATAAATCAGAGTGGGTGAAAGTTGGTTGGGTTTTGCTGTGGCATCAGCTGGCAGTAGGGGCTAGTTCTGTCAAGTTAGGCTACAGAACCACCTGGAGAATACAATATTCCAGGAGTGGGAGTGGCCCAGTAGAGAAATAGTGGGCACCTCCCTCTTGAGTTATCATTTGCACTGGAGAGCATGAAAACCAGGACTAGGGCAGTGGTGGCTGGACAAAATGGCACCCACCAGCATGTGTGTGGGCTGGATAAGGGGGCCGGTTGGGTTGAACCAGGTTTCAATGCCCATTGGCATGTATGAGATCTGAATGGGATGTGGGACAGACTAAACATGTCTATGGGACATACTGGAAGGCATGGGAACCAGGGTAGAGGGCAGGCCTGGTGGGATTATTGAGGGTTGCTTCAACTAGGCTGCAGCTCCCACCAGTTTATGTAAGGGTCAATGTGTGCTGGGCAGAAGAATCAAGCTGGACTGCAGCACTCATTGGTTCATGTGAAAGACAGGGCTGGAAACACAACTGCCCCAGCAACCACTAGCATGTACATAAGCTGATTGGGGTGATAGACTGTGCTGGACCCTTTACAGGCAAGCACACATAAGAATCAGGTCTGGGATCACTTCAGACGAAGTTTCTTTGAGGATCCCTCCAATCAAACTGCCGGACTCAGAACCTCAACCATGAAGAGAATTGCAGCTTCCTTGGTCTGACCAAGAAGTGAATGATACGCAGTGGAGAGCATATCCAAGTGCATATGGAGGATATGGAAGACCATAGGAATCTGCAGAGGATACCCTGTACGACAACAGAGGATGGAGGACAGAAAAATCAATATCTACCCCAGCCATGTGTTGGCAGTGAAAATCTGAGCAAACTGAGACTCTAAGGTAGACTATGTCAGCCAGTGGATTCTGGAGACATTTCATCATGTTTGGAATGACGAGATTGGCAGCAATTCAGAACAACTGAACTATCAAAACCACTTGAGCAGGACCCTCAGAGCATGCCCTACATCGGGGACCTGGGGATAGGTGTGAGGCTGAGTGAGGCTTCTCCCTTTTTCTTTTCCCTTACCCCAGATACAGAAAAAAACAACAATAATAACATGAAAACAAAGGTCTTATCCACTTTCCTGTAACCCGTGACCCTTTGTGCCCTAATCAACTATGTAAAGATTGTCAAAATAAAATAATTACAAAGAAAAAAAAAGAGGTAGGTTTTATGGCCCTGGGCTGCTCACATCCCATGTTGGAGCACAGGGTCTGAACCTGAACTACACTGCTTCTTGTCCAGCTTCCTGTTAATGTGCCTCCTTGGAGATGTCTGGTGATGCTTCAAGTAGTTGGGTCCCTGCCTGGCTTTAGTCTTATTTAGCCTTTGCTTGCTTGGACAGGAAGCCAACAGATGGAAGTATCCATTTCTTACTCTCCTTTTGAAATACATTTAAATAAATAAAAGCATTTTAAAAGGAAAATGAGGGGGATGTTGGCAGTGAGCTGAGTGCCTGCAAGGTAAGGTGGGTGTCACTAACCAACAGCAGCGAGCTGTTGGAGTGGCCACAGAGGGTGTCTGTGAAGCACGGATGTTGAACCATGATCTGGACCCAAAGCAGAATTCAATAGATACCAGCCAATATGAGGGGACAGAGAGAGAACTTTCCAGAACAAAACAAAGGCCCAGGAGAACATTGTTGAAAGAGCCCACTTGTGCTCCCCACCCACTCTCCACCTCTCTGATCCTCTCAGCTGCCCTCATGCCACACAGATTTTACCAGAACTCAAGTCTGTCCATCTACTTTCCTACCTCAACATGAGACAGAAGACTTCTAAACATGACTCTGCAGGCAAATTGTCTATAAAGTTTCAAAATATACAAATATTGGGCTCCATGTAAACTTACTGAACCAAAATTTTCCTTCTGGGCTAGCTTTATCCACACTTTGTAGGAACTTGTGATAAATTCACATTCTCAGTCCTATCCTTGACCTGTGAGTTAGAGACCTGGAGGGCAGGAACCAGAAAGCTGTGTTCTGATAAGTCCTCCAATAATTGTGATTCGGCATCAACTTACATAAACGTTGCTGGAGAGTCAGAACCCATGGCAGATCTTTCCCTGGAGATGCTGCTGCAGCCTGCGCGTGGAGGACTTGAGGTGTGGTTCAGGGTTTCGTTGAAGTTTCCTTGTGGGTAACCATGGTCCTTCCGTGCAGGACAAGCTTCTTTCTCCTACATTACTTCCTTCTCTGTTTTCTGTCATGTTCCATCTTGAGTCTGTGCTGCAGCCAAGGGCAACTGCTGGCAGTTCTCTAAACGGTATCAGCTCCCCTTCTCCATCCCTGCATGTGCTGCTTTACGTACCCAACCATCTGGCACTCTTCAACACTGTCTGCACCCTCTTCGTGTAGTCAGTCATCTGACCTTGTCACCCAGGTCTCACCTGCTACAAGAAGGCTTCTATGATTTCCTAACACAGTGTCAACACTGTCTCTTTTCTTTACTGTTAACACCTTTCATCCTGCATTGAAATTACTCATGCGTCTTCTAAACTGAAATCTTAGCCAACCTACATCCTCCCTCCTTCCTAGGGCAGGAATTGGTCTTAGGACTCAAAATAGTACATGCACTACAAATATTTGCTGAGTAAATGTCAGTGGTATCCACCAAAATGAATGTTGAGGAGTTATAGATGAAAAAAAAATTCTTAAGAAAACTCATCAGTCAATGAGTCAGTATGAGATTTTCCCAGAACTCACTAGAAAAGTGCAATGTATCGTGAAGACACCATAGTGTGAGAGACAATATCCACTTCGGAGAACTAGAAAAATCAAGAGCTAAATTCATTTATGCAGTAATTATATTACAATGCAAATATTTTCCTTTATCTGACTCTGTTTCCTTAAATACAATTTAGGAACTATAATTTTTACGTCAGTGCCACAAGATTTTTGTAATGAGAAATGAAAAGATAGGTATATTATTCTATTACTGCAATGTAAAGAGAATTGCAAACCAAGGGATTATAGAGATTTTATTGATTATATGGAATTATTTCAATCTTTTTGAAGATTAACTAGCCTGTTTTGTTATTTTATTAAGCTTTTATGGAAACGAGCTCTCAAAGATCGTTTTAAGTATGTTCGAAGACCTATAGAAGATGATGAACAAGTGATGAAAAATAAATGTAAATTTGGACACCGACGAGGTCAAACAAGGAAATCTCTTGCTGATATAAGGCATGATGAAATTAAAATTGCACAGATGGAGGTAAGATTGGATCTTTAACTGTTCTGAAAACCTGATAGATTAATTAGAGAATAAGAAATAATAGCATTTAAATCATTGGTATAAAATAAGATGCCTTTTAAAAATTGAGATTTGATCAGCAACCAAGGAAATCTGTTTTACATTGCTAATCATGTGACCGAGAGTTCCAAAACACTTCCAAAAACAAAGAGTGTCGTTAAACATCTCAAGTTCATTCTTTTCCACATCCTTCTTGAAGTCCTTAGTGCTGCAAGAAGTTTATGTTTTTTAATACAGCATACATGAATGGAAACTTTAAAAGTGACTGACTGGGAGTTCTTCTATTTTTGAGAAGCAGAGCCAGAGACAGGCAGACAGAACTCCCGTCCACAGGTGCCCTCTTCAGATGCCTACAGCAGTGGTGACAGGGCCAGTGGAAACCCGGGGTCAGGATCAGACCAGCTCTCCTAAGCGGGGGGCATGGACTCTGCTGCAGGAATTATACCTGCTTCTCCCCTAGGTACGCAAAGGCAGGAGGCTGGAATTGAGAACAGAATCCAGCTTGAACCCAGGCACTCCAGCACAAAACACAGGCTACCCAATCAGCATCAGAATTGCAAGACACAGCACGTGTCTCTAGGAGGAAGTAATCCTTACGGACAGACAAATGTAAAACTTAGCCTTCCCTTACCTGCCGGAAGAGAAGGCTTCCAACTGCCACCCAGAGTGGGCTGTGGAGAGCTTCGCAATGTGTGGACAGGCGAAGCTTGCAGATTTTTCCCTCAAAGGGGCAAAGTGGTTTTATTTGAGACACTGTAAGTATTCCACAGCTACTTCAGAGGTCTTTGAACAAGCTTACACAATATTCCTCTTATTTATAAAGTGGATTAAATTGCTTGGGGAGCACATCCCAACTACCAAGTGTCCTCTCAATTCTATTTCTATCTTAACATGCCACATAAAATGAAGATCCTTGCTCATTACCTCAAATACAGCATGTTTGTATGTCCTGAAGGTGGAAAAGTATTTCTTTTTGATCTAGCACATTTATTTGATATCACTAGAAGAAACTATTGGGCAGCTCAGTTTTATTAGTATTAATTAAAAACTCCAGGAGACAGGAATATTTAAAACAAACTGTGTATATCATTCTTTCCAGTACCATGTATTACACAAAATTTTGTATGAAGACCGTATATTTGCAATATAATTGTCAGTGATATTTTCAAATGATAAGGCAGTGCTAAATAAGTCAGTTGTCTACTTTGACAAAAAGAGAAAACAGCTGAGAAGTGCTCTAGATTTAGTGAAGCAACTTTTCAGAAGCATTGATATAATGTTGTTAGGGCTGCAGAATTTCAATTCTAAGCTAAACTCATCAAAAGATAAAACAGTATTTGTAACAAAAAATCTTTTTTTTTACAAAATATCTTTTATATATTTTTTGAAGATTTATTTATTTTTATTACAAAGTCAGATATACAAAGATATACAAAGTCAGAGAAGGAGAGACAGAGAGGAAGATCTTCCGTCCGATGAGTCACTCCCCAAGTGACAGCAACGGCCAGTGCTGCACCGATCCGAAGCAGGGTACCAGGAACTTCTTTCCAGATCTGCCATGTGGGTGCAGGGTCCCAAGGCTTTGGGCTGTCCTTGACTGCTTTCCCCAGCCACAAGCAGGGAGCTGGATGGGAAGTAGAGCTGCGGGGATGAGAACTGGTGCCCATATGGGATCCCGGCATGTTCAAGGTGAGGACTTTACCCACTAGGCCACGCCGCCAGGCTCAAAATATCTTTTATATTCTTACAGAGTCACATTGTAAAGAGCATAATTGTAATTTGTATAAATTGATTTTCTCAAAAGATTTGATTTTCAGTTTGCTAAAAATAGGGATGATTTTGTAAACCCAGCTTTCTTTTTTGTATATATTATTTATGTCCGTTGCAAATTCACTGAAAATGATGAATGATAAGTCTAGCTGGTGAGAGCGTGTATCCGCATCACTAGACATCAAAAATGAGGCTACGGAGTCAGAGAGAGCAGCCCGAAAGACAAATACAAGTTTCTCTGTGTCGATGCACCATATCTGAACCAACTGCTATGCTCACATGTTGTGCCCTTCTCAAGCCATCTGAGTCCTTCGTGGAATTGAGCTTTTCACATCTTACCTCTCGATTCCACTGAAGCACGTGACCACCAGGGTGAATTCTGCTAAGGCCTACACAGGGGCCTCTGCTGCAAAAAGAGCAGGGAATTGAGAGTGATGGGGTTAGGAGTCTAGGTTTCCACAGCATTCGGGTTTGACCTTCCTGCCAGCTGGGGCTACAGAAGAGATTATGGACGGTCGTTATTCAGTCTGAGGAAGCAACATTTTTCCTGGCAAACAGATCTTACTGGTGAACATTTACTGTTCCCTTGCTTAGCTGCTAACTGCTGATTTTTTAAAGGTTATAGTCTCCCTTTTACAACCTTAGATTTCATAAAACTAAAAGCTTAAAAATGTGAGAAATATTTCTATTGAAATATTACAAAGACCGTGTGTTTCTCCATTGTCTACCTTCCTTAGGTATTAGGCACAAAGAATACCTAGACGGGCACTGGGAGCTCCCATACACTGGATTTAGTTCATGGGATTGCATTCAAGAGACAGGTTGTCCAACTTCATAGCCTTTATTTTGAACATGGTATCTCCTTCAAAACACTTGTAAGCTTTTGGGAAATTAAATAAATACCAATAAAGATAAGATGCACCTGTGTATCTCTTACAGCCTTAATTTCTTGACTGGACACAAAATTTCCATTACCTAGAAAAAAATATTTTTCTGTGCTGCAGAGATGGACAGTGTAGACGCCAGCAACAAACGGACGTCGTCCACACACAAGAAAGCGAGGAAGTGCGTTTGGCTAGCTGGAGGAAGCACGTGGGAAGGAAGAAGCGAGGGACAGAGATGCTCATGCCTCTGCTTTGCTTTGTCTCTGGTGTTGCTTTCATTTTGCAATCAGGTGGAATTTCCCGAAGAAGTGAAGGCAGACATCTCACGCAGGAAGGTGGATTTCTTGGTGCCAGCACACGGGCTTCCTCTGAAAACCCACACAGCTGCAGACTTTGAAGTCTGACCAGAAGTCTCAGAGCTTTTGTCCCTGGTCCTCTGTCTCCCACAAGCTCCGACACCAGTTTAACTACTTTCCCAGTATCATTTTGCTATCTACTGTTATGTCCAGGGATCACCTGTGCATTGGTATATATGAACTCTTCATGCTTTATGGATACAAAAATGTGCCATTATGTTACATGGGTCACTGCATCACTCCGAATTGCACACTATGTTCCCAGAAACAATCCTGCAGCATCCTAGCTGTCTCACAGTGCAGCAAAATGTATTTTGCGGGGAGGGGGCCATGTGATGGTTCACTTGGCTAATCTTCTGCCTACAAACTCCACCATCTCATATGGGTGCCTTCTCTGACTCTTCCTCTCTCTGTAAATCTCTTTCCAATAAAAATAAGCAAATATTTTTTTTAAATACATTTCCTACAGGCATTGTAGCACGATGGGTTAAGCCACCTCTTGGGATGACCATATTTCATGTCATAGTGTCTGAGATCAAGTCCTGCCCCTGCCTTTTTTCTTTGTTGTTGTTTTTTTTTTAATTGGAAAGTCAGATATACAGAGAGGAGGAGAGAAAGAAAGGAAAATCTTCACTCCCTAAGTGGCTGCAACAGCTGGAGCTGAGCCAATCCAAAGCCAGGAGCCTCTTCTGGGTCTTCCATGTAGGTACTGGGTCCCAAGGCTTTGGGCCATCCTCGCCTGCTTTCCCAGGCCCCAAGCAGGGAGCTGGATGGGAACTGGGGCTGCCAGGATTAGAACCAGCGCCCATATGGGACCCAGATTTGTGCAAGGCAAGGACTTTAACTACTAGGCTACTGTGCTAGGCTCCTGCCCTTGTTTTTGACCCAGCCTAGTGCACCTTAGTGCATCTAAAGGGCAGTAGATGATGATGCAAGTGACTGAGACCTGGGTGGAGCTCCTGGCTCCTGCTCCTGGCTCCTGGCTCCTGCTCCTGGCTCCTGGCTCCTGGCTCCTGCTCCTGGCTCCTGGCTCCTGGCTCCTGGCTCCTGGCTCCTGCTCCTGGCTCCTGGCTCCAGTGTGATCCAGCGTCAGCTGTTGCAGGCATCCTGGGAGTAAACCAGCAGATGCAAGATTTTTCTGTTATCTCCCCCGCTGTCACTCTGCCCTTTAAATAAACAGGTGAAACATGAAAATACGTGCCCTTCGACCCTGAGAGCTTACCTCACTGCCTGCGTTGTAGTGCAGTCCTGCAGTTTTGGTGCTATAGCATGGTATGCATCAGACTTAAAACTTTAAATCATTTGTAGCCCCACACATTGATAAATACATATCCTATCCTTAATTTTTACATTTTGTTTTATATTTATAAACAGATGTAATTAGATTATCAAAACAACAGCCAACTAATTTTATAACTTTCTGAAATTTCTTCAGTTCAATGATGAAAACAATTTAGAAGCTTATAGGAATCGGGCTGGTGCAGTGGCAAAGCATGATGATCCTCTGCCTGCAGTGCCAGCATCCTGTATGAGTGTAGGCTTGTGTCCTGGCTATCCCACTGCTGATCCAGCTCCCTGCCTATGGCTGAGGAAGGAGACAGGGGTTGGCCCAGAGCCTCTACTCCCACCTGGGAGCCCTGCAGGTTGTTCCTGGGCTCCCTGCTTCCAGTCAGCTCAGCTGTGACTGTTGTGGCCATTTGGGGAGTGGATTAGCAGGTGGAAGACTTTTCTCTGTTTCTCCTCTCTCTGTGAAAAATCTGCCTTTCAAATAAAAATAAGTGAATCTTTTTGACAAAAAAAGCATAATATTTGGAATTAATGAGCTAAGTGTGTGTTACAGGAAGCAATACAGAGGGTTCCCTGCCTCCACAGCGAAGAACACACATAGTTGGTTGTGGAGTTGTGAGTTGTTTCTTTGGGTTGTAGCCCAGAAGCAGGTCTGAGGGGGCGC